CGGCCCCGGCCTGGCCTTTATAGCGCCCGCCTGCCGCTCCTGCCGCAGTAGCTTCTGCTCGGTATCGCACCGCACTGCCTCGCCGGGGCTGGTAAGTGCAATAATGCCTTTAGCAACCTAACGGGGTAGGAGCGTGACTGCCAGGTGCCAGTCCAGTAGAGCAACCGAATCCACTGACTGCTCTTTAAATCAAAGCAACTCCCAATCGCATGCAATGTAATCTTTTAGTAATGCAAAGATTGGTTCTATGTCCCAGATTTTAGCAATGTTATATAATGTTGAAAAGAAATCAGCTGTAATGCTATTTGTGATGCTAAGGGTTGGGCCTGAGAAAGTAATTATAGTAAGGAGTGACAAATTATTTGCATGTTTGTCAAATATGTTAATGTCTTAATATGACTAGAGTTTAAGTTTAAAAAAAAATCTACTGCAATATAAACTTAACTTGAAAAGTACATGTCTGAGTACCTGAGGCATGATTTGCTTTTTTGCATTATGAAATCTGCATCCCTTATAAGCAAAGGGTGCATCTATGTTAGCATTTTGGTTTGGATCAGGTCTGTATTTTTTTAAATGAATCTACTAATCCTCTCCACTCCCCATGCTTTGGGTCACATCATGGAATGGTTTCAGCTCTTAAACTGTATTTCTTTTGAACAAATGAAACTGAAAGATGCATTTCAAGTATCAGTGGGTGCTCATTCCATGGGACCAAACTCTGAAGCAGACAGTGCAGAGCAGGTCTTCAGTGCCAACTCTGCTTTGCATGCCATCTCCTAAATTATTGCATTGCACTACTTGCTAATGTAAATATAACCAAAGTTCCCAGACATCTTCAGTTTCTCTCTTCTTTGAAACTGAAGACACTTTCTTTTTCTTCCAAGAAAAAATAAATTCCCAAATAAATTTGACTTAGACTACAAATTTAAAAAAAAAAGGGGGTGGGAATGCAAATTAGCACTTCATAGCTTTTTTTCCCTCCCCATCACTTTTACAAGTTAAACTAACTGTCACTTTTGAAAGACTGCTATGCATGCTTGGCTACAAGAGGCAGCTGCATATAAAGAAAAGAAATGGAATATGTTGTTAGTGTTATAATATTATAAATAAATGAGGAAACCTCAAGACCAGCTTTTCAAAAGTTTGCAGTGGTCAGAGGCACTAAATGAGGTGGCCAGGCTTACACAGATGCCCAGCGTCAACAAGCTCCAGTCAGCAACTATGGAGGCACTAGGAAAGAAAAGGAGCTTTCCCTTTCAGATCCTTTGGTCCTAAATGTGGATGTTAAGTGCTTCTTGAAATCTTGCTAAAAAGTCGTAATATCAAGTTAAATAGGCACATACCACTGCACAGCAACTAAATAAATCTGCCAATTTCTAGACTGACTGCATTAGTCTACACTGTAGTAACTATTAATGTGTGGATTTTTCCAATTTCCTTGTCTCTGCTTCATTTGAACAATACTAAATCTGATTGTATTTATAAATGTACAAAACTGCACACTTATAAATGTGCAATTGCTTTATAAATGTGCACAACTGAATAATAAGCAGATAGTCCAGACTAAGTCAGTTCTTAATTTTTCTGTCAACTGAATTGTGCAACATGTCCTCAAATCAAATGAATACAACAGAATCAAGAGCAAGCTGATACTCCAAGCTACAACATGATACTGATTTCCTTTTCTATTTTCAGAATCAAAATAATACAGATAGAGGGACAAAGTGAGAAGTTAACTAACATCATGAAGTTACTCATCATCTGCACAGTAACTCTGGCCACACTTGTCACACGACTAGATTCTGTAAGTTTTGAAATAAATGAGGCCAGCTACTTGGAACCACTTCTGTTTTTTGACTATACTTCTGCTTTGGACAGTGAACTAGACTTTCTGCTAGCATTCTGCTTCTTGCTGCATTTGCAGATACCTATGCATCTGCTGCATATATATCTCCATGAAACATTTTGAACCCTCTGTTTTTTTCTTCCGCGTTTCCACTTCACATTAAGATCTCTTCCAGAGAGTTCAAATGGGAATGACATCATGCAGTAGCTTTTATATCTTAACGCAATTCAAACCTGGACACCAAGTACCAAGAGCTCACTGGGTTTTCATGGAGGCTGATACTGGGCCTTAACTAAATTCCCATTTTCCCCTACTTGAAAGAGGGTGATGTTAAGAAAGGAGCAACAGATCTGACTCGATATTTTGACTATTGACTTGTATGACAGTTGCTATCTATCAGAAGAACCTTTCACCAAATTATGGAACTGTACTGTAACCATGACCTGTTTTAGCTCAGGCTAGCCCACTTGACCTCTGGGAAAGCCTAATCTTATCTCTTTCTCCATGGGAGTAAAAGTCTAGCCTGTGCTTCAGATCCTCCAGAGGCATGATATGGAATATAGGGCAAAAATCTACTGTTGTGTAAATCTACTGGCTATTACTCCATACACAACCATGGAGTTGGATCTACGCTGCATCTTTGCTGCACTGCTTGGTGGCTGAGAGGTGGGGAGGGAGACCTCCTCCCTCAGTTTTAGGGACACTGACCCTTGAGAGCTGCTTAGGTCCTTATAGCAGAAATATAACCACAGTGTTGACCTGATGCACTGGCCCAGTTTTTTGGTTTGCTTTGGTTTTGTTTTCTCTCTTCCTTTCTGGTTTGCTCAAGTACAGTTCCATCTCCTATTCACAAGCACACTCCACAGAGCAGGCTCAGCTGGTAACCTTGTGCACATAACTTTAAACTGTTGAACCAGAAGGTATGTACTAGGGATTGTCATGCACTTGGAGTCTGGGCCCATAATGTCAGGCATCAGAGCTGTACAAAAATTAGCAGATAATAAAATATCATAAAAGAAACTACTTCCTTAAAAATAATTTATATATGCCTTTTTTTCCTCCTCCCTTTCTTCAGGCTTACACCAAGAAGTACTACAAGCTACCACATAAACACAGATGGGAACACAAGGGTAAGTATCAGCCAGTTCCACTTTACTCTAAAACAAGTTTGTTAACCTGCAATTAGCACATTCGTAAAAGAGGGAAGAATCTTACCTAAACACCTATCACCTATCATTTAGTTTGCAACTACATTTCACTTTGCAGTACTAATCGACTGTTTTAACTCTGATCCATGGTGTCTTTCACTTGCAGATTGCAACTGTTTAAATGGAGGAACCTGCATTACCTATTACCTCTTTAGCCGGATCAATCGTTGTTTATGCCCAGAAGGATACAGTGGAATTCACTGCGAAATTGGTAGAGTAGCTATCTTTGCCTGCTTAATACTAACTTACTCTATTGAAAAGATATTAAAAAAAGAAAATCATGAATATGAAATGTCAAATGAAAGTACTACAGATAAAAGTAGGACTAGATATTCTATAGCATTTTATACTAATAGATTAGGGGGAAAGAGAAACAGGTTAGTGGAGCAAAGTCATGATCTCTGAAGTCTTTTTGTCCCTGCCTCTTCACTAATGTTTCAGTTTGTAAAATACAATGAATTTGTTTGGGAGGGTCCTGAAGTGCAGGAATAACTGATTATATTATGATGTATACTGAAATCATTAAAAAAGTAACATATATGCTTTAAAGCATAAGATATTTGGTGCAGAAAATTCATATAAAACAAATTTAATAAGAATATACAGACTAATTAGTCCGGACTTTGCATTATCTGTTTTAAAGTGCAATGCCAGAATGTTTTTTGTTTTATTATATGGATCCACATGGTTATTTCTATCTCGGAACAACTATAAACAAGAACATGACACTAGCTGAAATTTATTTTGCAGACACTGACAACAAATGCTACATGGAGAATGGTGAGGACTACAGAGGAATTGCAACAGAAAAGGAATGTCTGCCATGGGACCTTCCTTCAGTAATCAGGAGGGGTAGCTACCACACTGACTTGAAGAATGCCTTGCAACTTGGCCTAGGCAAGCACAATTACTGCAGGTAAGATAATGTATTACTTCTCATGTGATCAATTCTATTGTCATATATTCCCAGAAGTGCCTCTAGTGATGGTACATGATTAAAGGAGTACTACAATTTTCCAGAGACTAATTTTGATTAGAAATATTTGAAACTTGGCTCTCTGAAGTATCTAGAGTTCTCATTTTTTCGGTGAAGCTGATGGTACTGCAAAATTCCCAGAATGCTACAGTAATGGTCCTACAAGAAGTACCAGCTATGACAAAATGAACTTCCAATTTTGTGATCAAACAGGTGTCCTCTTGTAAACTCATTTCTTTGGCATATCTTGCAATCTTTATCCTTTTCAGAACGGTCGGAATTTTAATATACCAGCATTTACAAGCTGTTTATGAAAAGAACACTTCCTTTATCTTCCAGAAACCCCAATGGAAGGAGCAGGCCCTGGTGTTACACCAAAAAGGGGTTCAGCATTCAAGAAACTCCCTGCAATATACAGAAGTGTCACACACAAACTGGTAAGCCACATTTGTTTCAAGACAACTGATTTCAGGACAAGGTTGCAACTTGCCTGTTGTAAGCCCATCTCAACAAAATTCTTTCTTTCACAGAGCCCACTTGTGGTCAAAGGAGCTTCAGTAAGTACTTCAAGATTGTTAGCGGAAGCCGTGCAGAGGTTGAGTCTCAGCCTTGGATAGCTGGCATCTTCCAAAACATAAAGGGCATCGACCATTTTTTGTGTGGTGGCAGCCTCATTGACCCTTGCTGGGTGCTTACAGCAGCACACTGTTTCCATTCTCAGTAAGTTCTAGCACTTCATAGTTCTGCATTGGCCCTATTTTCAACTTTTGTCAACTGAGTTCTTTGGGCAATGCTCACTGTGCAAAGCTCAACACCCTTGAAAATCTATCCTACTAGGATAGACTTGCTGTAGCAAAATGCAACTATTTTGATGGATATGCAATTTAAACAACCTAGTCAAATTGGAACCAGGGTTTCATGCTATGGTTGCTGTTCCCAAAACTTAGAAGTTGTACTGAAAGGTGATGAGCTGTTAAGAACAATACATCTAGTAATATATTGTGGAAAATTGATTCTCCTAGCCTTCTGGAGAAGAACTCATTGCCAATGCCTGGCACTAGCAGCAGCCAGGTAGATGTGCAGCTCAAAACAGCTGAACATCTACTTTATATTGACTTAAAATGGCAAATCGGGGGTCTAGAATATTGGATCATCTTTCAAAGCCAAATAGCTAAATCGTGCTTTTTCTTGTCAATATTAAACATGAAACAGAAGTCAATGGTCCTTGACCTCACTCTTGGGACTCAGTAGTCTTAATGAATCTCTTGTCTTTCATTCAGGTCAAAAGACAAATCAGCCTACAAAGTTTTCCTTGGAAAGTCCATACTGAATGCTACTGATAATAAAGAACAAGTGTTCATGGTGGATAACATCATCTCTCACCCTGACTTTACAGATGAGACAGGTGGCAATGAGAACGATATTGGTAAGCGTCATCTTAAAATGAGCCTTCAGAGCACTAAGGATAGTTGTGGAGGTTACATGAGTATGATATACTTCCACTAAAATAACTAGAACCAAAAAACAGATGAAGGGGAACAGGAGCCAGGTGCTTTAGAAAACTAAGCTCATAGTAAGCAAGATTTTTTCCACTTACATAAAGCTGGTTTGCGGCACATCTCAGATACAAAGTTCCATGCATTACCTGGCACACAGTCAGCTCTAAGCCTGTCTTACTGCTGGACTTACACAAGGCATAGCTCTTGAATAAGCACTGGTGGCAGCACCCCATTCCTGCCATCCTCCTAAGTGGAGGTGGCTGGCAGTCAGCAGAAAGGCATGCACACCTGGTCTGGGCATTCAGAATGGGGCAGGACTTCTGATATACATGCAGTACTGCTGCTCTGCCAGGAGCACAGTACCCCCAAACCTCTGCTGTGGAGCAGAGATTACACTATATCTCTGCAGAGTCCACACTGTATATGTGTAGTAAATCAAGACACAGCATACACATCACAGGTTTCCCCATGCGTTAGGGGAATGCCATGCCAGGTACCACATGAGCTAAATGTTACCTTGAACTAATCCTGAAAACATAGCTTTCACAAGCCCCTCCCTAAATCAACAAAATCATATAATAGTTCCTTAAACCCTTCTGGTGAGTGGTACAGTAGAAACTGCCCCCTCTTCAGCAGGGCAACAGAGGCCACACTTCACAGCAAGTCAGGAAACTGAGGTCTTAGAACAGCAAGAGGTGGCTGAAAACACCTTTTGAGAGAAATCTTTCCCCCAGTTATTCCCCCCCCGCCATCCTTCCAGGAAGGAAGTTCAAGTTGGAATGTTTGCCCATTTCAATGCTGGAAATATAACTTTGTTTTCACTGCAATGACTAGCCTCATTCCTTAAGTGATGAGGGCAACCAGATATAACTAAACTAGATGTAATTACAACTACTCCTGTTCGCTTTACCAGATGCTTCCATTCTCAAAGAACTCATGAGGGAAAAGTTTGCTTTACAAATCTAACTCTTTCTGCTCTGACCTTTTTTTTTCTTTAGCTTTGATAAGAATAAAGACAACTTCTGGACAGTGTGCTGTAGAAACCAAATATGTCAGAATGGTCTGCTTGCCAGAGAAGAACCTCTACCTACCAGACAATACCCAGTGTGAAATTTCTGGCTATGGGAAACAGGATTTTTGTAAGTGAATAATTTCTCTTATCAAAGCTGTATTCAAGCAACATGGAAGTCTCATATTTGAAATATTACTGGGCAAACTATTAAGCATTACTCTACCTAGTATATAAAGCCTCTGTCTTAGAGGTAAAAAAAAACAACAACAACAACAAAAAACCTTGACCAAAGCTGTGTTGTTCTAGACTTTGTTTTTACAGATTTCAGTGAAGTCTTTTTTTCTTTCTTCAAAAGATTAAAAGCAAGGCACAATGTAGTTACGGAATGGTACATTGAAGCCACATAGTTCATACTGTGTACATAAGCATAGCACACCGAGTATCCAGCTTTACCTCTAAAAGTCAGAAATAGTTTTCATAATAGCGTACTACTGCAATGCCCTACACCCTGTGGTCTTCCTCCTCTGAAATGCATCACACTCAATATTGCTTATAGTCACTCTTAAAAACCACAGTTGCATTTGTGAGTGTTAATACCAGTAACAACCAAGATCCACTAGTTTCAAGCAAAAATTAACACAATTGCATAAAATTAACACAATTGCATAAACTGGGCATGTAAACAAGCTGTTTTTTACACCATGATCTGCAAATGATTCAGAGACCCCCTGCTGCTATTGTGTGTTCTCCATGTAGATCTTTTTTGAAAGACTGTTTTTACTATATCTTATGCTTCTCACTTTTTCAACCATCAAAAGTAAACCAAGATTAAAAGAGGAAAAAAGCCTTTTTTTTGGCCTGATAGTGAGGAGGGGAAGAATTGAAAGCTATGTTGGAGTATTAGGCAAGGACTACATCTGTATAGAATTTAGCTCCAAAAACTGTCCAATTCTTTCTCTCTAAAAATTGGATGAATTTTGGATAAGTAGTTTGCATTTGGAACATTTGTTTTCACTTTTAATATTAATAAGTCCGAAAGTAAAACAATGCTGTATAAACTGGAAATATGAGCCTCAAAACAGAACTGGAATGGTCATCATTTCTTTTCTGAAGACTAGCAGTATACTTTTCCTCTTGCAGTATTTTTTTTTTCCTCTTAGAGTGTTAAAACAGTCTAAATAGTTCCTTTGTTTGCAGATGACATTTACTATGCTCAAAGACTGATGTCAGCCAATGTGAACTTAATATCACAGACAAAATGCACACATGAATACTACGATAATATCAGAGTTACTGACAACATGGTCTGTGCTGGAGATTCCACATGGAAAACTGATGCATGCAAGGTAAAAATTGGTTTTATTTTCTAAAACTATTTTAGATTCATGTTTTTTCACCCTAACCCCTACGTGGCACTGATCAATTGTTGGTATCTTATAATTTTGCTAGCCAGAAGAGTCTCCCTTTAGTTAAAGGGAACTCAGTACAGCCAATAGGCAGGAAGACAACTGATTCTGATTCTCTGATACACAACTAAGCATGCTGGCTTTGACCTTTTTGTAACTAACCTAATATCTGTGATTACAAATGTAGTCCAGAGGGCTATGTGAAAGGTGACCACTCCCTCTGTGCCCAGCGAGGGTGGAATGGAGAATGTCTTGACTTATAGACTATGTTCTAACTGCAGCAAATTGCTGAGCATTCTGTTCCATCTATGCAATGTTGTCAAAAATCAAACCTTGACTCATCGTGTTTACTAGTTATTTTTACTTGAGAAAAATAATAATCACAGGGACCCTGTGATAAAGGCTTCATCTGCAGAAAACAAGCTAATGTATTCTCTTTCCATGGTCAGGGAGATTCTGGTGGCCCCATGGTCTGCGAGCACAATGGCAGGATGACGCTTTATGGGATTGTCAGCTGGGGAGATGGCTGTGCAAAGAAAAACAAGCCTGGCGTCTACACCAGAGTTACTCAGTACCTTAGCTGGATTGATTCCATTATGAATGCAGTACATACCAAAAGTCGTTCTCTCCCTGAATCAAAATGACCTTCTTTCCACATATGGAGTCAAAGTACTTGCACCAAACAAATGAGATTAAGCCTATATTGATGCCAGGACACTGAAGTCCCAGATGTCACTGAAGTTGAGTCACGTATATTCCTCACTAGAGGCTTTAATCACAAATGCTCACGTGGTCTGCCACTCATTAGTGTTTCTGATGCAGAGACATAGTGACATACTATTTAACTACTCTGAATTACCTGAAAACCACTCCGTGGGAAACTAAAATATTTAACATTTAAATGTGTATTCCCATGCACAATACTATACATATCAAGTTATCTGCCTGCTTTATTTATGAACCAGTCTTTGGTCCAGAAGTATTGGTAAAGTTTTAACTTATTTAACTCAAATGTACATTTTTTTACATAGACCCAGTGTAAAACTCTTCCTTCCCCACATCACATTGAAGAATGCCAAGACTGAAGTCCTAGAAACCTAACCTGTTAAAACTGGTATGGAGAGGGCAATCAAGCCTTTTTGCACTATGAAGTGAAATAAATTGCATCAGCATTAGTTATCACTAATGCACAAAGCAGGACTAAAGTCTAGCCTGAAGCAATACTTGGCATATGGGGCTCAGTCCTGTAGTCCCAACCTATATGTAAAATCTTAGGGATAGCAACAGTAGCTGTATCAGCGTAAAAACACTTAATGCTTTCCACTTAAGGACTGTGACACAAAGAAGCAAATAGTATATTTTTTTGACTGGACTTCCAGGTCACATTTGAAGGTGTCTGGGTCCCTTTTGAAGTCTAATCCTCTACATGTATGTATGCACCTAGAAGAGGATCTAAGTACTCAAAGGCTTTTTGTAAGTTCTAGTCAATCAATGCCTATTGAATACTGCAGATATCAAATGTCAGAAATAATGTCCATTCATCTAGGTAACATTGTATGGAAGCTACTTCTTTACTGATATGCTGGTTTTATTTTTTTAAACTTGTCTTTGTTTTATAGATTTGTATTATTTGTATGAGGGCTGGAACCTCAGGTTTTATTTAATTATTTTTTACATTGTTTAAGTTATTGTTTGTACTATGGATGTTAAACTATCATTAAAAAAAAATGTTATTCTTATGTGGTTGTTTGTTTCATATTAGAAGTAGAAGGCCATAATAGAGAGCGCTTAGAACAAAGAAATACTTGAGGCCAATTGTATTTCAAGTTCTGGACAAAATGACACAATTCTAAACACAAACTAAATGCTCACTAAAGATGCATATGTGAAGATACACGCATTCTGTTGCTTGGACAGACAACCAAAGCAGAAAATGCTCTCAAGGTCTTCTCTCTTGGGGGGTTAAGGGAACATAAGAGTTCTTAGCATCACTTTGACATCCTAAAGAGCATGCTCTATGCCTACTTTGGCCTTTTTTATTTTTTAAGGAAACTGTTATACATGGAATGACTCCAGCTGAAGACAACTGAATGAGATGTTGTCAAGCCACATTAAGAATTACATATACTCTATAGATTATATCTGTATCAAATTTGCAGAAAAAAAATTGTATTGCAGCATTAGGTTACAGCATATTTGGGTGATGTTTGTAAATGCGCAAAAGGTCTGCACATATCATACTAATATTCTGTCAAGTACTTGACACTATGAAAAATGATTTCCCACACTGAAATGGCCAGCATGGAGCAAATTAGCAGCCTAATTTTTGAAATAAGGAGTCCTATTCATCCTACCCAAATGATTAGTGACAATACTGGCAACACAATTTGTGGCTGAGATCTGCAAGCAGAAATTTATTAATTACCACTCTGTGTTGTACAGTTATTTGGTCAAAGTATGTTGTTTCTGGATTGTTGATTAGCATTTCTGCTGGGAGTTAAAACTGTACTTTTTTCTGGAGAACTGGTTAGAGATGCACAGTGAGAGACCATCCAAGATGAGAAAGGTGGTACCCCCATCACTGATTATCTAGGCAGTAACTAACAGGAAAATCTGATCAGTTTTGGCAGATAGTACTTTGGGCACAAAGTAAACAATGATAATATATATGCACATGTTGTCAGAGGCATTGTGTATCACTATCACCGTAATTAACTGCACACTTTTCACTGAGTTCTGTGGGCTTTCTCTGTGAACAAAGTCAAATCAGTGCAATGTACTTTTCAATTTACTCTCATCATTATGAATACAGAACAAAGAAGGCATGATAAGCAAAATTTGCATTTAAGTCTCCTTCGTCCTGAAATTTAGGATGCTCTGCTAAAGTATGAACAAAGATAGGGTCTTGAGAGCTAAGGAAATTTAGATACGGTTTTGGGTTCTGCGCTCCCCGCCCAAAGCCTCAATTTTTCAAATTGAATGCTGTCTGTGCGTGCAATCGTTTTCGTTATTTAGCTAATGTTAGATAAACTGCCAGAACCAAAATGAAATCTTTAAACAAACATACAGTGCATATACCTCTCCACCTTGATTGCTATAATACATCATATACTCTCTTCTGTTCTCCACATCACATTCATAGTAGAGTGGTAAAGCCAACTCCCAGTCAATCAGGATGTTAACATGACTTAAAAAATTATCATCCCTATTAGACATTGGTAAAATAAAATCAAGCTAATGATAATGACAAATACATCACTGGGAAAACTTGCTCTGAAAAATGGTGTGCTATTTAACAATTACTATCAGTAAGTGCTACCCCAGCACTTCCTGGGATGCCATGATCCTTTTGTTACACCTTCGTTATCCTACTCCTCAAAGGCATTGCAAGCCTCTGACACCTCTCATCGCAAGCAGACATTGACACCTCTACTGGCTCTGTCTGGAATGCTTAGGATGCCAGCCGCTGAAACTCCTTTACTAATGGGAATATATTTTATCCCACCATATCCCTTTTTCTCACTTCTTTGGGCTGCTGAGGGGCAGACACTTAATCCTCGCTTTTAAATCAATTTCAGAACGGAGTCAAATGGGTGTTAGCACATAGCTGAAGAGAGTAAAGCAAAACTGTTTTAAAAGCCCTCATTAAGCAAGCTCTAAGATACATTAAAGATTTCCTTTCTGTATTTTCAGTATCAGACTAGTAAAGGCTAACTGGTTATTACATAAGGTGTACAGTTGCAGTAACTTAGTACCTCCACACAAATACAACTTTAAAAAACAGTGAAACATACTTAATACTGTGCCACAAATGTTTTTTATATCAACACAAGGATATCTCAGGATCTTGGCAGAGGCTTAATCTTTACAGAGCGTCTACCACAGGCAGTGCTGCTGTGCAGGTTGCCCTCCAAACCACTGCTCAGGGAGTTTTCAGAGACCCACAGAAAGTTGCAGTCTCCTTCCAGGACACTACCACCTTCCTGGTTTGCTTTTTGTAATTGCAGTACAATAAGCCTGTAAGGTTTCAACCTAATTGCAGCACCTCAAAAGCCCAAAAGATATCTAAAAGATTTAGCATCTGATAACTTGTCAGGTCAGGAGCTGCAGAATTCCAAATATATGGTAATAAAGGAAAAACTTTATTACTTATTAGAAACTCTTATTCCACCCTTCTCAACCAGCGTCATTACATACATACTTTTTTCCCTTTAAATCCTTTTTGAAAGATAGTAGATATCTGGGAGATACTAACACGCATGTACAAGTTTGTAGAATAAATTCAGATATCATAATTTTACTCTTCAATATCTTTCCTTGATTTCAGATATGTGGCACATAATGCAAAGCAGTAGATATGGGCATCAGCTGAACAACAGAAGAGATCAGATTCTCAGAAACTCAGGGGTATGAAAAAGAATAATTAAAGTCTCTACTTCTCTTTAATACTTCCACAAAAGAAACATACTAAGCAATGGGCATAAAACAGTATCTGATATGTCCAAGACACAGGAAGCTAGTTTAACCTACCAACCCTTAAGAGGAAGTGATGCATTCTGGATGGACAAACCACTTTACCTTATATAGCTCAGGCTTTTTGAATGGAGGTGGAACTAAAATGTGACTCAAAGCATTTAAAAATAAAACAGATTTGAAATAAACCAAGTGCTGGTGAAATATGATACACAGTCTCCTATTTGTTGCACATATTATATCACTTTCATGTAGAATTGCAAGGGTCAAAGGATTTTGTTTGTGTATATTGAAATCTGAACGAATAGAAAGCAATGTGACTATTTGATCCCCAAGCCTTGGCCTCAATTCTGATACTTAACCAGAGTGCCTGCTTTGGGGCAAATGAGAGCAGGGATTATCTGTAAATGAGAAGCAAACCTTTGTGCATCCACCAAACCTGTAATCTGATGTTTTAGATACTCCCATCTCAAGTCAAAGTAAAAAAAGGCAAGTGATATAGTTGGAACAATGCATATTTGTTAATGAGCAAATCTGGGTTCAAACTTGGTCTGGCATACACCCTTGCAAATCCATCGCACACCATGCAGCTATATAAACAGATATTTCAAGCAGAATTTGAGTTCTGTTGTTTAATCTTCTGACAAGTGAAAGAAGTGAAACTTTAAGAAAGTGAAAATACAGAAAATTTATGGAACAAGTACCATGTGCTTGCTTGCTCTCATGAACAGTGAAATAAGACGTACACTCAGAAGTCAAGCATGAATGTACAGGCTATACAGGCCTATGAGAGCAGGACGCTCCAACACCGTGACCCATTCCATAGCTGCAGGCAACCAGCTGACCCATTCAAGACTTAGGCTGCGTATATCTGGTAGGATACATTAATTATATTTGGAAGGCCTGCAAGTATATCAGGGTAGAAAAACAGAATCCAGAGTGAGCTTAGCAAACTAGAGTTGCCTGAAATGCACAAGATGCACGTTAATAAAGACAAATGTAGGAACAACCACATGCACAGACACCAGAAGAGTAACGACTGGTACGAAAGCAGATCCAGAAGGCACAGCAGACCACTAGCTGGATGTAAGTCAACAATATTACAGAGTTAAAAAACCCAAACATCATACTCACACATACAACAAAGTACAGTCTGTAAACCTAAGGACTAGGCAGACACTTAGCTGTGCCTTGTTTTGGGCATCATTTTTCTTGATGGGAACACAATAAAATTGATCAACAATCTAGAACATGATTTGGAGAAAAGACTGAAAATATTTGGTTTATTTTATAGAAGCAGCAAAATCTAAAAGGGAGATTTTATTTAAAGGGATAGAAGGTTGATGCAGAGAAGGGAATAAACTTTCCTCTGCGTCCATGGGAGATAGAATGAGAAGCAATAAGCTTAACTGCAGGAAGGAAAACTGAATCCACATTATTATGAAAACTTTTACACTAGTAAGAGCAGTGAAGCACCGCAATAAATGACATTGAGTGGAGGTGAATCTCCTCTACTAGAGTTTTTAAGAACAATTTAGGTAGATAATCAGTGGGATCTTGGAACAAAACTGGAAGAGATGTTAAGAAATCATCTAATCTCAGCTTCCGTGTTCTACTCAGAATAAACGACCATGCTTAGTGACCGAGATAACCAAATGAAAATACAGACAACACAAAGAAATTTAGAAATAGTATTACACAACTGTGGATTTAACTGTCTTTTAAAAAGAGATTTTAAAAATGAAAAGGATCCTGTGACAGGAAAAGGTCTGGATTTATGAATTAACCACTACAGGCAAACCTCTTAATAGTAGATTTATAACAGTAAAAAGTGATGTGCGGACTTTTCTGTGACTCTTAACAGAATAATACTATAAACCGAACTGGAATAAAATCAATTGCTTCCACTTACCACTGTGCAAAATGTTTTCAATGTATTACATGTGTTACTGGCAAGAGAGTATCGCCTACTGGACAGCGGGAACATTATTTCTCTATTGAATAACTGGAAAGAATTTTGCACATAATGCTATGACTTGGCATCATAAGCATGAATTACCTCAGTATGTTCCAAGCTACAGGCCTCCGGGTGTG